CGAAGCGCGGCCGAGGCAGGAGGGGGCGCGCGAGGAAGCTCTCCGCCGGCTGCGCGCGCACCCGCTTCGCGGGCACTGCCCTCCCAAGGCAGCTCCGAGGCCGCCGCCGCCTGCCCCCCGCCCCTTTCACATGATGCGCATGCGCATTCGGGCCTGGATTGTCTGGCGGGCGGGCGGGAGGAGATGTTGGGGGGACGGAGGCCGCCCTGACGAAGAAACCATGGTTTATAATCCAGCAATGGTGGCTTAGTCTACCAACCCAGCAGGAGAACGCCCGGCTCAAAAAAAAAATATTATACAAATTTATAGAGCCACCCATCTTATAATATATACAGTGACCATACACCCTTTCTTATAAAGGACAGTCCTTTCTTTCAGAAAGCGGTCCTTCAGATTTATTTATTTTTCCAAAACTCACTTTTGCCCTTCATTTTGGTCATTTAACTCTCACCGTACAAATGGTACCACCTAATGTGCCATCTTTCAACTGTGTGAAAAATAAGGAAATTGAATCGTCTTTTTAAAATAAATTTACATATGCAGTTCGATTTTAGGTATTTTTTATTGGAATACACATTTTCGTAAAGTTTTTCCTGGTTTGGCTCTTGAATTTTCCTTTGTGAAACGAAGTTTTAAACATATATATATATTTTTATCCTTATGTACCTCTTTCAGATTTGCCCCTTTTTCAGGTTTGTCCTTTACTTTTTCCCAAGAAAATGTGGTCACTGTACATATGTATGACTCTGGATGTTGGATACACACATAGCAACCAGTTGTAATGGGGCTTGTTTGGTTGGCCATGATGGTTTGTGCTAATCCAGCTATTGTGGCTTGTAAGCCATAGTTTACGACTTAGTGTCAGGCTTGTGGGAAAGGCATTCCGGGTGCAGGGGATTCTGCAAACCTGCAAATTCTGCAAATTCCTGGAGCAGCCAGACTGGCGGAATAAAATGGAATATTCTCTAAGTTGAACCGAGAGTTTTGCACACCCTCGTTGAATGAGACACGTGAACCCTCCCAGTTGTGGCTTATTCAACAAACTAGTTTACAGAATCATGGCTTAGAGCAGTGTCCCCCAGGACCCTCTCGGGGGTGCTTGAGGTCAAAATTATTTGCCAGCCTATGCTGAAAAAAATACAATGTTAAACCCCCATCAATTGTGAGAAGCGGCAGAGGATGAGTCGGTTTTAATTTTTAATATGGTAAATATCAATAAATAGGACCCCTACAAACGAAAGCTCTTTTGGGGTCCTCCATAAGTTTTCAAAGTGAGAAGGGCTCCTGAGAGAAAAAAGTTTAAGAAACACCGGCGTAGAGCAACGTGGGAACCCAGTTGTGGTGGAAAATGCTGACCTTGTAAAGCAGCATCGTCTCCTATGTGGGTGCTGCAGATGCATCAAAGGAGGCATCTGAGGAGGCATCCAAGTGAGATCTTCCCTTCTGACCATGGATCTCTCTTTGCAGGGAGGATCCAGCAGATTCCATGCCCCCTCCGACTCCCTCTCAGGAATTACAGAACTGTAATTTGAATTGTTTGTAGTGCTGTGGTACTTAATACACATATTAATACACATATTAATTTCTATATTTTATTAGCAGTCTTTGTTGTTTTTAAATCATATTTAGTGCTTCTTTGACAGCCGCTTCGATTACCTTTGGCCTGGGCAAGCAAATATTATACAATGGGTAGTAGAAATAAACAGTCCACTAACCTGTAACTCTTGGCTCTGGTTTTTTCCAGTCCCCATTCTCTTCTTAACCTCCTGGTTTATCCCCACAACAGATTTCTTGGTTGCTTGCCCAAAACCAGGCTGTCCCCAAAGGAACTGGGATACAAATAGCTGGCTAATTTAGCAGACCTGGTCTGCATATTCATCACCAGTCTGACCAATGGGACCCCCCCCCCCTTATTAGTGTGCTCCCCTTTTCTCACTTGCATTTAGGGGCCTTTGGGCACCGAGTGTAAAAATGAGAAAATATTTACAAAATTAGGCAGCGTTTCAGATGGCTCTGCTTGAGTCCAACAGCAATACCTTTTATCACGAGAGTACAACACTTCAGAAGTTGGCAAGCGAGGGAAGACAAATGAAAGCCTTTTTCCAACAGAGACTTGGCAGACTTAACTGCAAGTCCCTCCTTCAGCTTCGGGGGGGGGGGCGGTGGTGGGAAACTCCAAAGCAGTGTTTCTCAACCTTGGCAACTTTGAGATGTCTGGACTTCAACTCCCAGAATCCCCCAGCCAGCATGAGGTTGAAGTCCAGACATCTCAAAGTTGCCAAGGTTGAGAAACACTGCTCAAAAGGGTTTAATGATAAGAAGGACCTTGGAGGTCATCTAATCCTACCTGCTGATCTGAAATGGAGGGTACAATGGTCCATCAACGTCTGCATCAGGATCTCCAGCGAAGGAGAACTTGCTACTTCCAACAGTTGCAAGCTGTTGCATTGTTGAACGATTCTTACACTTTCTCCAGGTTTCCTATAGAGAAAGCAACCAGAGTTTCAAAACAGCAACTTCTGTTGTCCTTGAGCATACAACCATGCTGTCTGAAGTTTCAGCGGGGTTCTCGTTTAAAACAACTAGGCCACAAGATTACCTAAAGCAAAGATGAATACTGTACACTCCTTTTGTAGGATGGCCTTTGGGGTATTTGAAGGCACCTATCGCTGCCTTCCTCTTCATCTTCTCCACTTCAAAGACATCCAGCTGTTTCTCTGAATATGTTTTAGCAGGTAGGATTCAGGATAAACTTTATTGCTTGTAATCCCCTCTATCAAGACTGCTGAATATCTTTTTACATAGCGTTGAATTAATGAGACTCATAGTGTTTTCATTGCCATATTCTGAAGAACCACACGTTTGGAGCTTGGGGTGGGCTAATTTAACTGAAATAAGAATCCCAACTGTACTAAAATTCACCATTAACATAGAAAGAAAGGAGAACAACAGATTAGAAAAGACTACTAAGTCTAAGAGAATACCAGCATGGTTAAAAAGCAAAAGCAAAGGTTTTAAAAGCAGAAAGTGGGTGCTTTGCTAATGAGAACCAAAAAAACGAAAAACAGTATAAATGTGCATCAGAAACAGAAATGGGAACAGTTAATAACTGGTTAGGCTTAGTAGTAGCAGTAATATATATAAAAAATAACCATTCAAATGGCCACAAACAAGTTAGCAAATTAATCAAAGTTGTGGTAAATGCAAGATATGAAGATATCAGAGAAAAATGGGTTCTTTCCCTCTCATATGTTAGAAAAGACGAAGTGATGTTTTGAAATGTTTTGAGTCATCTGATAGAGGCATCCTATGGGATGAGACACCACCCTTAGGTGTCTGATTATTGAATTTCACTGGAGGAAAAACATCTGGATCACCTTTACTGGAGCTAGAAACAGTAACACCAAAGTACTTCTAGGAATTTAGACATAGAGACAGAGCCGCAGAATGGCCCCGTGTAATTGTGTTGTAACTGAGCTACATAAGAGGGAGGCCTGGTTCTTCATGTTGGTTAGCTTTTAAAAACTACCAGCTGGGTGAGTGTAAGGGTCTAAGAGGCTGGAATACAGAAGCTTGCAGCTTATAATAATCCAGTGTTGGAGGAGTTTAACAATTTGTTTAGCTTTGGTTTAGAGCTGTTTTCACGAATGATTGAATGCTGCTGTCTGGAACGTGAGTTCCTGATTGCTAATGAACAAAGTGATGGATCTTGTGGCAGTTAGTTTGCCTGAAGTAATATTCATCTTCCTCTCTTTGACTCCTAGATGGTTTTCTGACTGTACTATATGGAGTTACAAGTCTTCACAAGTTATTTGTAGAGGGATGACTGAAACAAGCTGGGGTTTCAAGTCATGAAATTCTAGGTCTTATATATAGAAATTGCTGGCTTCTGGTGTCATGCCCCTGGCTTACAAATTGTCCTTGAGCCAGGGAGAACAAGATGAGGAACCGTTCAATTGGATTCTGAAAAGGCAGGCCTTCACACTAGTTGCAAGGTATAATCATGCCCATTGCTCCTGCCTCTGTTCAGGGATGTCTGGAGGGAATAGTCAAATAAGTCAAAATGTGGACGCAGTGGTGCAGTTGAAGCTCTGCCCGTTTTTTATGTCTGGACCTTCAATCTCACCATTTCTGACCCTACTCTGCGGGCATCTCTGCCTTGCTTCCTGGAGACTGAAACCCTGAGCACTTAGCCCACAGGAATATATCAGCCATAGGCATCCGGAACAGATTTCACATGTGCCTTGACTTTATGACATGAATTGTATATTTTGTGCCACTTGTGTGATGATGTCATGAAATGTGTAACATCATCAGGGTTTCTACCAGGCACACATAAGTCCAACCTATAGGAGAAGAGGATAGCTCCTCTTATGGATCAGTAACTTCTTAAAAAAAATACAAGAGAAAATCAAAGCGGTAAATTTTTGTACCGGAGCATTGAGGAGACTCTAAAACAGACATATTTTGTCCATCCAAGTGCTGAAAAACCCTAGAGCATAATGTTCATTGGAATGAATAACTAGGAAGAAAAGACTTTGTCAGAAGGAAGCACCCCTCTTCCCTTTACTGCTATAGAAAAAAGCTTGCAGTGCACTAACTTCCTTATTCTCTGATAATCCATCATCCTTGTCATCTTAACCTGGTCTCCTGAGATACATCTGGCAAGCGCTGTCTGCTTAAAAGCAAGGATAATTTGAAGAAAGTTAATACAGTGGGATTATGTAAACCATCCAATTTACTATGGTAATATTGAGCATTGCTGGCAGTGTTCTCCTTATTAAAGTGTTGTTTTCTAGATAGCTACAGTGTCATATTACATTGTCCTCAGAGAGTTGGCTCTTTGACCATTGCCCTCCTTTGAAAGGATTTCTGTTTCCTGGAAAGATTCAGCATTACCCACCATGGAGGAATAGTTGGTGAAACTGAAAGAACTTGCTGAGATGGACAAATTGACTTCTTTGATTAGAGAGCAGTCATTATTGACATTTATCAACGACTGGAAACTCCTTATGGACTTCTTGCGTAAGAAAGAAAATGATTTTGTGACTTATGGTTTTGATGATTAGAAAGAATAGGTTATAGAAAGAAGGGAATTATGATGAAATCTTGGAGAGAGTGATTTGATTAGAACTGTATGTATAACTGCCAAGAGGGAGATTGGAAGACACACACACACACACACGAATATACATATTCATGTTTTCTGTTTTTTTTCTTTCTTTTTTCTATCTTCTTTTCTCTGCTTTTTCTATTCTTCTCTTTTCTTTTTTTCTTTCTCACATTTTGTTGTTGTTGTTTAGTCGTTAAGTCGTGTCCGATTGTTCGCACATTTACTTTACTATATTTTTTCTTTCTCTTTTGTTTTCTTTGAATGTATTTATTATCTATGTAAAATATTTTAATAAAATAT